ATCTTGTCCAGCCCATGATACATTACTATTGGGCAGCTGCCTCAGCACCTTGTCCAGCCCATGACACCTCACTATTGGGCAGCAGCCACAGCACCTTGTCCATCCCATGATACCTTACTGTTGGGCAGCAGCCACAGCACCTTGTCCAGCCCATGATACCTTACTGTTGGGCAGCAGCCACAGCACCTTGTCCAGACCATGATACCTTACTATTGGGCAGCAGCCACAGCATCTTGTCCAGACCATGATACCTTACTATCTGGCAGCTGCCTCAGCACCTTGTCCAGCCCATGACACCTCACTATTGGGCAGCTGCCTCAGCATCTTGTTCGGCCCATGACACCTTACTATTGGGCAGCAGCCACAGCACCTTGTCCAGCCCATGACACCTCACTATTGGGCAGCTGCCTCAGCATCTTGTTCGGCCCATGACACCTTACTATTGAGCAGCTGCCTCAGCATTTTGTCCATCCCATGATACCTTACTGTTGGGCAGCAGCCACAGCATCTTGTCCAGCCCATGATACATTACTATTGGGCAGCTGCCTCAGCACCTTGTCCAGCCCATGACACCTCACTATTGGGCAGCAGCCACAGCACCTTGTCCATCCCATGATACCTTACTGTTGGACAGCAGCCACAGCACCTTGTCCAGCCCATGATACCTTACTGTTGGGCAGCAGCCACAGCACCTTGTCCAGCCCATGATACCTTACTGTTGGGCAGCAGCCACAGTACCTTGTCCATCCCATAATACCTTACTATTGGGCAGCAGCTTCAGCACCTCATCCAGCCCATGATACCTTACTATTGGGCAGCAGCTTCAGCACCTTGTCCAGACCATGATATTTTACTATTGGGCAGCAGCTTCAGCACCTTGTCCAGACCATGATAACTTACTATTGGGCAGCAGCTTCAGCACCTTGTCCAGACCATGATACCTTACTATTGGACAGCAGCTTCAGCATCTTGCCCAGACCAGTCTTAGCATCATTTGGTGATGGAGGGAGATGCTCTGTATCAGGAATATACTGTGTCACATATACACCACTGGTGTAACAAATTACAAGAGTAAGGAAAGTTTGGCAATTTGGACAGAAAGTAATCCGGAAATCTTGTTTCAAGGCCTGCATTATTGTTGCATTATTGTCTGGATTTACTGTCATACTGGAAACATGAATATTTAATGCCTTTGCCCTTGAGTATTGCTGATTAGGATTGGGTCATGTTGGATCCAGTAGTGGAGGACCTACTGAAGCTCATGTTACAGCATCAAAAGCGTTTCATTTTTCGTCCTGTTTGTGGAGGTTCATCATTCTGGAGACCTAGTTTGGAAGGAACTAATGACCTCAGAACTGAAATCCTGGGCTGAGAAAGATCCTGGCAGAAGCTGTGTGTTCACCAAGTGCAGACATAAGCTTCATGCTAGGGGCCTTCAAGGGATATTCCAGGGAAAAGTAAAAAGTGTCTGGAACAGTTTTATCATTAGTTCAATAGTTATGTAAAAAAAAGTAGGTTAGGAATTTGGTTGGTTATTTTTGTACTCTTCTGTTGATTGATTATGTGTTTGGAAATTTTGACACAACATGCGACTTGGATGGAATTTAATAAACTCACTCGGGAAATTAAAAAAAGAAATCAGCATGACAGATACATTTTGGTAATATTCTGTACAGAAGTGATGGAAATGAAGATATTTTATTTTCCCTATTTTGATAACATGTGCATTATGGTTCATGTCTGAGGTAACACAATAAATACTGACTTGTTTGTCATACCTACCTGGCATATACAGAACTTGGAAGGTAAAACCTATGATTGTGGGTTTGAATTCTGGTTCATTTCTATTATATTTCTAGGTTTGTCAGTAGGATAGGATAGGATAAGTTTTATTCCATACTGAAAGGCCTCAGGCCCATAGTACAATTCTGTTTTCGGGTGTGGTTACAGATCCGTTTAACAGGTCATATTCTAATTAACATAGCATGATAAATGAACATTGATAGATTTTTTAGAGTATCTTTATCAGTTGTTGACATGATCGTTATAAATCTTTGTAGAGTGGGATGTACATAACCAGGCAGATCAATATATTTTCTTCTAAGGTGGTCGTATTTTGGACAAACTAACAGAAAATGAAACTCATCTTCAATCACATTTAAATCACATTGCTCACATATTCTCAATTCTCTGTCTATGATTCTATGCCTGCCTACTTCGATCCTAAGTCTATGAGAGCTGCATCTAAATTGTGCTAAACTTATTCTAAACCTTTTATAGTTGATGTCGAACAAATAGTATTCTGGGGAAAAGCTTGTAATATGTTTGTTTTGGTCATCCTTCACAAGTGTTCTATGTACTGGGTGAGATAATGTGGACTGGTCATCCTACACAAGTGTTCTATATAGTGGGTGAGATAATGTGGACTGGTCATCCTACATAAGTGTTCTATGTACTGGGTGAGATAATGTGGACTGGTCATCCTACATAAGTGTTCTATGTACTGGGTGAGATAATGTGGACTGGTCATCCTACATAAGTGTTCTATGTACTGGGTGAGATAATGTGGACTGGTCATCCTGCATAAGTGTTCTATATACTGGGTGAGATAATGTGGACTGGTCATCCTACATAAGTGTTCTATGTACTGGGTGAGATAATGTGGACTGGTCATCCTACATAAGTGTTCTATGTACTGGGTGAGATAATGTGGACTGGTCATCCTACATAAGTGTTCTATGTACTGGGTGAGATAATGTGGACTGGTCATCCTGCATAAGTGTTCTATATACTGGGTGAGATAATGTGGACTGGTCATCCTACATAAGTGTTCTATGTACTGGGTGAGATAATGTGGACTGGTCATCCTACATAAGTGTTCTATGTACTGGTTGAGATAATGTAGACTGGTCATCTTACATAAGTGTTCTATGTACTGGGTGAGATAATGTGGACTGGTCATCCTACATAAGTGTTCTATGTACTGGGTGAGATAATGTGGACTGGTCATCCTACACAAGTGTTCTATATAGTGGGTGAGATAATGTGGACTGATCATCCTACATAAGTGTTCTATGTACTGGGTGAGATAATGTGGACTGGTCACCCCACATAATTGTTCTATGTACTGGGTGAGATAATGTGGACTGGTCATCCTACATAAGTGTTCTATGTACTGGGTGAGATAATGTGGACTGGTCATCTTACACAAGTGTTCTCTGTACTGGGTGAGATAATGTGGACTGGTCATCCTACATAAGTGTTCTATGTACTGGGTGAGATAATGTAGACTGGTCATCCTACACAAGTGTTCTATGTACTGGGTGAGATAATGTGGACTGGTCATCCTACATAAGTGTTCTATGTACTGGGTGAGATAATGTGGACTGGTCATCCTACATAAGTGTTCTATGTACTGGGTGAGATAATGTAGACTGGTCATCTTACACAAGTGTTCTCTGTACTGGGTGAGATAATGTGGACTGGTCATCCTACATAAGTGTTCTATGTACTGGGTGAGATAATGTAGACTGGTCATCCTACACAAGTGTTTTATGTACTGGGTGAGATAATGTGGACTGGTCATCCTACATAAGTGTTTTATGTACTGGGTGAGATAATGTGGACTGGTCATCCTACATAAGTGTTCTATGTACTGGGTGAGATAATGTGGACTGGTCATCCTACACAAGTGTTCTATGAATTATATACTGAACAAAATAAGTTAGTGATCATGAATATTTTTGGTGATACTTTTGTGAAAGTGTGTGCTCAGTTTCAGTACAATAATTATCCCCCAAAATATTCATGATCTGTAACTTTTTTTATTTAGTAAAAATTGATTCTTTGATGGAATTTGTCAACTTCATGGTTTTACACAACGCAGAAATATAGCCCAGAAAAAAAACCTATTGCATCCCAAGGGATACACAATATTATTCATTGAACCAAATTATTTACAAGAATTATAAAGGGTCTGTAATTAAGTGAGTGAGTGAGTTGGGTTTACGCCGCTTTTAACAGTATTCCAGTTATATCGCGGCGTGTCAGCTTAATGTGGGAGGAAAGCCCGAAGTGATGCAGGTCATAGACGTTTACCGCTTTGGTGTAACCCATGAGCACGGGTATGGTGCTGACAAACCTAGAAACATAATCGGGGCGAACCGATTCCCGACATGGTTAAAATGTGTGATTCCCCTTTTTATGGTTTCCCCCGCCGTGATATTGCTGGAATATTGCTAAAAGCGGCGTAAAACCATACTCACTCACTCACTCAAAGATGTGTGAGTGTGCCCTTGGAAGTTTATGTTTGCATGAATCAGTTATTGTGATAGAAATAAGTAACTGCCAAATGAAAGTATGCACTTGAAAATTGGATTTGACCGAAAAATTACAAATGATATCAAAACATTATTAAGCTTAAAAAAACATTTGCCATAACACTGCAAACTTAGGTCCAAAACAGCCTTGATACCCGGATCAAACACATCACCATTGAACAATCATTTCTTGTTTGTTTCATTTTTAGTCACCATCAAACATGGGCGGATGTTTGTTGTAAGAGGCGACTAACTGGATACGGTGGCCAGGCTCACAGGTCATTGTATCCCAATTGCCTGGATCAATGCTCATGATGTCAATCACTGAATTGTCACGTCCTCACTCCATTATTTACAGACCACCGTCGTATAGCTGGAATATTGTTGAGTGCGGCATTAAACAACAAACAAACCAAACTTTCTTAGCCAAGTAATTTATGCATGAATGTGTATAAATTAATTTTAGTGACAGTGTTTTATGTGCAGGGCATGTTTTATTTTTTAGTGCAAAATGTATGGAATGGATAATGTATATAAGATTATTACAATATCTCACAGCGGAAGGGTGCAGAGGGGGAACAGTTTCCCAGACCCCCTGCACCCCGAGGATGTGCATATGATGATTCCAGTTATTATTATGTCCACATAGGAATTCACAATGCCTTTGTCTTGTGTTTCCAGGTCAGGATCTGGTCAGCTGGATGATGAGGAACCTGGATGTGGAGGACCAAGGTGAGATGCCATCATGAATTTTCTGTAATCGATATGACCTTGTAAGAATCGGCCTCTTCTTTAGATAATTAAGAGTCCTCTGTTCTATGACTGTATCCATTAGTGTAGGTCTTTGTCAGTATCTTGATGTAATGTTTAGAATTGTTACTATGGTGACCAAATAATCCCTTTTACAATGCATTTCCATTGCAGAAAAACCCGAAATGTAATTAATGATACAGAAAATCTTTGTTTGTTTAGTTCTGTACATGCTGTATTTCGAATGATGTTATCTCATTCAGATGCTCTCACAGGTGACATTGAGGGAAGGCAGCCATCTTGAAATGTATTCATTTCTGTTGCTTGGTTGCACAACAAAAGTGTATCATTTGGATATGAGTTCAAACATCTTGCAAGTTGCATGCAAATATTTCCTCGGTTGCAACAAAATTTATGACAAGAGCGGAAGATTATGTGCGTATTTGTGGTCTTAATTATCAGAAACAAATGAGGCTGTGGTTAGCGGTAACTTTGTATTTCACACCCTGTCAGCCACACAGCTCCTTCCGAGCTGGCTGATTGGGCCATGAGATGATCGACCTATTCGATGAGGTTTTGATGGGCCTGTACAGAGATTGAGATTTGGGGTGATAGATGGTCCACCTACATGTGTCTAGCGTCCTACCACAAGGGGTCAACCAGACCAGTGTGTGGCATAACAGTTACCCAGCAAAGTGAATGTTCTGTTTATTGTGTGTGATGTCCTGCTCTTGGAAACATGGTTGTCTGTGAGGAAAGTTTTGATTTTGTGTGTTCTTAATTGGCTTTGCTTATCTTGGCAATTAATTAATTCTGGGATGACGTTTTTTTTTATTGACTTTAAATCTTTGTGACACTGTTCTTTTGCATAATTATCCCCCAGGCATATAATGGGGGGGATATAGCTATGGGCATGTCCGTCCGTCCGTCTGTCGGAATCGTTTCCGGAGCAGAACTAAAAAATCGTTAAATATTTCTTCATCAAACTTTGCATTTATATCACTTAAGTGGTGAAGTTGTGCCTTTTGCTATTTTGGAATTTTTATTATTTTTTTTATTTTTATGTTTCCATAGCAACAAGTTGGTCTTAGGTTCTATAAGAGGGGTATTCATTTCCGTAGCGGAACTCAAAAACCGTTAAATACTTTTTTACAAAACTTTGCATATCTACCAGGCACATACTGAACTGGTGCCTTTTGCTATTTAGGAATTTTATAAATTTTTATTTTTTACGTTTCCTTGGCAACAAGTTGGATTTAAGTTTTAATATAGGGTGGGTTCACTTATCCAGTATAACAAATCAACTGTTAAATATTTCCTTGCCAAACGTTGCATGTCTATATATAAAACACATACTGAACTGGTGCCATTTGATATTCAGGAGTTTTAGAAATGTTTATTTTAGAATTTCCATTGCAGCTATTTTGACATGGGCTAAGAGAAATGTTGGGTCAGTTACCTGGTTTGGGACCATAACGTGTTAAAATGGGCGGGGGGGGTATAGAAGACTTCGTTGACTATACGCTTGTTTAGTTATTGTTTCTTGTAATTTGTCATTTGTTTGCATAAAAAAACCACACAGAAACATACATGTTTTACTTTCGATTTCATATGGATGCGACGATGGTGGATCTTTTGTGGGTAAACAATGTATGCTTCTTCAAGGACATTCAACTCTTGAATCATTACATACAGAATTGCACATTTAGTTGTGGTTACTTTACAGACAGCTGCCGGGGGGATATGTCATCTTTCTGGTGACTCTTGTTAAGTTTAGTTGGTGAAAATAAGTAATTAACCATATGAAAGACATTTGCAGATATTCAAATGTTATTATGATGTATCATTGCTTCTTGAGTTATAGCTCATGTAGAATGGAAATGAAATGATAATAATAATAATGAGAGCCCCACCATTCTTTTACCTGTAAAGATCCAGGTTAGAATTGGTCTTCAGCTACCAATACTTGTCATAACAGGCGACTAACAGTCAGACTCACAGACGGGGTTGATACATGTTATTGTATCCCAATTGTGTTGATCAATTATGATGGTGCCAATCACTGGATAGCTTGGTCTGGAGTTGATTATTTACAGACCGCCGTCATATAGCGTAAAACAGCAAACAATGAATAAATCTGCCATGTTTTCTGCATTCACTTCACTAATAACATATGCTCTACATACTTCAACTCAAAAGTTTCAGGTTTTCTTGACATGAACATTTGGCTAAAGTCTAAAGCCACTGGGCAGGATTTCCTCTTAGCTCTGTGAGAAGGTCAGAAATTGTTAGTTCATATAACTAGCAGTGTTGGTCTGGGACAACTGTTCTTGCCATGTACCTTTTCCAAAATCATGAACGTTGGGTACATATCTGTAAATATAAGTGACAAAGCCCTTTCCATGTTCACAAGAAACGGTTCCAGCTATATCATGAACATGTGTTTATGAATCACTATCAAATAGTGATGATACCAGGTTTTTGCAAAATGTTGAATGTATCAAATCCACTGGTGGCACCCATCACAAACACATGCAAAGTCAAGTCAAGTGTCCACCTGAAAAAAACCACAAGATAATATGGTACATATGGAATTGCATCCAATTCTAACCAATTCTCATAAAACAAACATAAACTCAGTGACTTGCTTGGGAGAAGCACCGTCTCCTCCAACTCTGTGACTTGCTTGACAGAAGCACCGTCTCCTCCAACTCTGTGACTTGCTTAAGGGCAGTGTCTCCTCCATCTCTGTGACTTGCTTGACAGAAGCACCGTCTCCTCCCAACCCTGTGACTTGCTTGAGAGGGGCAGTGTCTCCTCCAACTCTGTGACTTGCTTGACAGAAGCACCATCTCCTCCAACTCTGTGACTTGCTTGACAGAAGCACCGTCTCCTCCAACTCTGTGACTTGCTTGAGAGAAGCAGTGTCTCCTCCAACTCTGTGACTTGCTTGAGAGAAGCACCATCTCCTCAAACTCTGTGACTTGCTTGGGAGAAGCACCGTCTCCTCCAACTCTGTGACTTGCTTGACAGAAGCACCGTCTCCTCCCAACCCTGTGACTTGCTTGAGAGGGGCAGTGTCTCCTCCATCTCTGTGACTTGCTTGACAGAAGCACCGTCTCCTCCCAACCCTGTGACTTGCTTGAGAGGGGCAGTGTCTCTTCCAACTCTGTGACTTGCTTGACAGAAGCACCATCTCCTCCAACTCTGTGACTTGCTTGACAGAAGCACCGTCTCCTCCATCTCTGTGACTTGCTTGACAGAAGCACCGTCTCCTCCCAACCCTGTGACTTGCTTGAGAGGGGCAGTGTCTCTTCCAACTCTGTGACTTGCTTGACAGAAGCACCATCTCCTCCAACTCTGTGACTTGCTTGAGAGGAGCAGTGTCTCCTCCAACTCTGTGACTTGCTTGAGAGAAGCAGTATCTCCTCCATCTCTGTGACTTGCTTGAGAGAAGCACCAACTCCTCCAACTCTGTGACTTGCTTGAGAGAAGCACCATCTCCTCCAACTCTGTGACTTGCTTGAGAGAAGCACCATCTCCTCCAACTCTGTGACTTGCTTGAGAGAAACACCATCTCCTCCAACTCTGTGACTTGCTTGAGAGAAGCACCATCTCCTCCAACTCTGTGACTTGCTTGAGAGAAACACCATCTCCTCCAACTCTGTGACTTGCTTGAGAGAAACACCATCTCCTCCAACTCTGTGACTTGCTTGAGAGAAGCAGTGTCTGTTCTCCAGTTTAATGGTGATTTCTATCCTGATTTTCACATTTGCCTTTAATTCACATCAAAGTACGTTGCCTAGATACGCTTGTGTTGAAATCTGACTTGACTAGACAAAAACTGCTTCCCCCACAACCGTTTGTTGTGCAACAATAGAAGGTCTCCGCTAATTTCACAACTACTTCCAATGTCTAATTTTACTCAGCTTGCATTTTTGTAATTCAATCATTTCATGAAAATGAATATTGGTTCAATATTTAACTGTAGAGAGATAGCGGGAGGAATGTTCAAGGCAGAAAGTTGCTGGAATAGGTTGTGTGGCATATAGTCTTCAGTCCAACTTGACCTTGTTAGTTTCACAACCTTTAGAAGCAATTTGATATAAATTTACATTGCCATCTGCAGCCTTTGGAAGATTAGCTAACTGATTTTATTCTAAATTTAGATGTCTCTCAAAAAGATCTTGGTTAGAATTTAAAGGTTTTAAATAGTTTTAGTCTTTAACACATTGATTAATACTGATCAATTCATACAACTAGTTATCCTCGTGGTGGTTAATTCGATCATTTAAAAAAAATTATTTTGTGTACATTTTTTCACCACAAGCAAATCACTATCCTGTTATACTAGACAAGCCAACGGTGCACCAGGGATCATGATAGTCAATTTAAAGATGGGCTTATTAATTGTTCTTTATTCTGTATCGATATCGTTTAACAGGTTTTTACTAAATTGCATAACAGATTTAAAAAGTTATATTGCATTATGAACATTTGGGCTACGTCAGTCTGTTTCTGCATGAATTATGCATTTGTGTTGTTGCAATTTTCATCATGAAGAGATATTTTCAGCTAAAATGTAAAATCATTTTTACACAATATATGCAGTATTGTCCATCTTCAGGATTGAATTGGAGTGAGTGAGTGAGTATGGATTTACGCCGCTTTTAGCAATATCATGGCGGGGGACACCAGAAATGGGCTTCACACATTGTACCCATGTTGGGAATCGAACCAAAGTCTTCGTCGTGACGAGCAAACGCTTAAACCACTACTGCTACCCGACCCTTGATTGTATTGGATCAAAGCACCATGATATATGATCATGTTGCAGGAGAGGTGACATCTGTTTGGGGAAAACTTAAAAATGGATATAATGCTCACAAACAAATGCTCATAATCAGGTTGAATCTTGGATCTGAACCTAGGATCATTGGATCATAGCATATCTAGGTACCTTGGGCACCAGGGCCCCTAGT